ATGTACAATATAATGTGTATCAATACACATGATGCTAGCATTGATTAACACACTTATCTTTGGACCAACTTGTACATACATTTTTGGAAGATATCAGATATAAACGTAATTCATGAAAATTATTCTTGTAACAACAATATATGGTCTCGACATTTTGTGCTTACTATTCAAGTTCAAGTAGGTCAACGGTCACACCTATACACTAAGTATGTGCACACAAAGATTTTTTTAATTCCAACGCTTAAAATATTCATTTTGTTAGTTCCTCTCATCATTAATCAATCATAAAAAGACACATACCTCTTTGGTAGTCATCTACACTCTTTGACTTGAATTATGTCCTGCAGTCAAGTGATGACGACCGATAGAAATCCACACCTGCCATATATACTGAGTCAAAAAAGAAACTTCACATTCTTTCTTCAGGGCACTGTAACATAACAAGAGATGGTAAGATGGTTAAATTGTTATTAGTTCATTGCTAAGATCTGTGTGATGTACTTGATACACTGACAGTGCCATAATCAGTTCCATTAGGCTACACCGCCGTTCCAAAACATGGGTATACAGAATGTCAAGTCACAAGAATAAAAATGCGAAATTTCTCAGTTCAATATCGTGTATGTCCGCTTCGCGCATTCACCACTGCCAAACACCGTCTCCTCATCGACTGCCTGATGCTTGTGAACACGTGGTTAAGGATTCTGCGCCATTGCTCTTGCAAGGCAGCGCCAAGTTCCTGCAAATTCTGAGGTTGGTTCGAAAGACCACGAAGCCTTCTCCCAAGTGCATCCCAAAGGTGCTCTATTTCATTAAGGTCAGGGGACCTCGAGGGCCAGTCCATGACGTTGATTCCAGCGTTTTGAAGGAAATTTCATGTCAACATCGCTTTATACGGCCGAGCATTAGCATGCTGGAAGTGTAGACCTGGGCCAAGAGCCGCCATGAAATGAACGAGCAGCAGTTGTGAGGTTTCCACGGATGACCAGAAGTCGGGAACGGTTGTTCCCACAGAAAGGACCCCACACCATGTAACTTCCGCCCCCGAATCTGTCGACTTCCTGTACACAACATTGGGCATACCATTCGAGACGTCGTCTCCAGACTCTACGGCTGCCGTCCGCGAAACTGAGGGTAAACTTGGATTCATCGCTAAAGGCGACTCGATTCCAGTCTCCCTGGGTCCATTAGTGGTGACATTGGGCCCCCAGCAGATGATGACGTTGATGAAACGGCGTCAATATTGGCCCACAATATGGACGTCGAGAATGGAGATTGGCAGCCCGCAAGCGATTTCGAATGGTCTGTGAGGACAGTAGACCACTAAATATCTCAGCCCTAGTTCATGTAGCTGGCAGTAGTCTGTCACGTAGGTGACGTAGGACGATTTGACGGTCTTCTGCTCGTGACGTCACACGTGGACGACCCGAACTTGGGCGATCAGAAGTGGTGCCAGTTTGTTGTAGACGACCTCGCAAGTCATACACAGTACGACGGCTGCATCCCATTGCTCTTGCGACGTCAATAACTGATCTTCCCGCTTGCAACATGCCAACGGCACGTTCACGTTGCACATCAAGTACCGTTAGAACTGTTGTTTTAAAAGTGTGTTTTTTTCAATTCTTGAGGCCAATGCAAACACGTGCATATGAAGAAAACCTCGATGCGAAAATCACGTGATCGACTGCACGTGCAAAACCTGACTTAGCTCTAACGTCATTTGCACGACGAATGGATGGGTTTCAGTGGGTTTTGCTAACGTTTTTCTACAGTCGAAAGATAGGGATGCCATTGAGGATGCATAGATATATCATCAGAGAAAAATTATTCATAATTTTTCATATTACATTTTGTGAAGTTTCTTTTTGGACTCAGTATATATTGAACCAAATGACACAAAGAAGCAGTCAATAATTCGAACTAGCTGCTAGGGTTGTAGTTTTGTTTTCTTCTAGTCCGGAACTATGAATATCACAAATATTCAACTAATTGTAGATTACTAATTTTAAAACACAATCAGAGCTCTTCAGTAATTTCTTTTTGGACTAAGACAGACTAAGTTTATATTTCATAAAGTCCAAAACACTGAATTCTCCCTCCATGGTGAAGATTGCCTCACTCTTTATAACGCACGGAGGCAAGGTCTTCCAGTTCATGCTCTGGACTGACTTACTGAGTTTGGTTTTACGCCGCTTTTAGCAATATTCCAGCAATATTCCAGCAATACCACCGCGGTGGACACAAAAAATGGGCTTCACTCATTGTACCCATGTGGGGATTCGAACCCTGGTCTTCGGCGTGATGAACCTCATGCTCTGGAAATTACACAGGGTGTGTTATAGTGAGGGTAATGAGAACGGTATACATGAGATCGCCTCCACAACTCTGACGTCCAGATGGTGTGAATTTCATCTGTTGTTAAAACAAATAGTGTCACTTGGTACATACATGGGCTATCGGAAATGCAGAAATGCTATTGTTGCACGATTGCATATTACATCTGACTCAGCTTTCCTACACATCTAGACACCTACACACACACACACACACACACACATATATATATATATATATATATATATATATATATATATGTGTGCACACAGGAAAGTGCATGAGTTATTGCAAGATATGTTTTTACTAAGGTGTGCACAGGAAAAGAAACACATGCCCGCCCCTTTAGTCATTTCTTGTCTACGTGTTTCTGCAGTACGAACTAGTCATAACAGAAGGTCGCTGCTATTTTACACTCTCTGAGAGAACACGGTGTGTGACATAATTTACCACATTACTTTCACTCAGAGAGCAGTAAAAAATGCAGACTAAAAGCTATGGGAATAATTTTGTCTTCTACTAGTCAGGATTTATGAATATCATATTCATGTAATTGTAGACTACTAATTTCAAAACACAATCAGGGCTCTTCATGGGACCTACTATGAAATCTTTTATAATATTTTCATCAAGTCCAAAACACTGAGTCCCTACTTGACTCGTTATACGCACACACGCGAGATTTCTCTGAAAATTACATTGAGTGTGTTATAGCGATGGTAATGAACTTAGACCTGGACTATAGTCTAAACACGTTGACTGTGTCTCAGGAGTATACTATTCGAGTTTGCCACTATGAGTTATGTCTAGCTGCATCAGCGGTATTTTAAAACAAGCTTCACATGCTGGCAAATAAGGCACAAGAAACAAACGTCTCCTGACATTCTTTGTTACTGCCAGGAGACGAAGGCTTCTTGTACCTGTTTTACAAAGCTTGTGAAACCTGGCCTTTCATTTTCAAATACCGCTGATGCAGCTACGATCGAGAAAACTCGTAGTGGTAAATTTGAATAGACATTGATATTACGAACTCGTATACTCGTGGTGTCAGTCAACGTGTTGAAGAGTGTTTACTTCTGTACTACATTTTATCTCTTAATTGGGACCGTATCAAACCCTAAATAAGTTGTCATGAAAATCCGTATAGGCATCTTTTAAAGTGGATGATGGTGAAATTGTTTTAGTCTTGGTAGACCAATATAGATCAGGGACAGAGAAGTTCCCTATGGCTTAGGCCTACACCTACACACCAATGGTTCATATTTCACATCTGTTTGTCTCAAGAAAACAGGGTCACTTGATACATGCACCTGCGATCAGAGGTGTAGGAAGAATGATACTGTTGCTCGATTGCACTCACTGCATGTTCATACATTTGTTGTTTTTTCTTCTGACTCAACACCTCTAGACATCTACACACACCTACACACACACACACCTACAAACACACACACACACACACAGAGACAGAGGAAAGTCACGCAAAAAAATAAAAATTACTGAGGCGTGTACGGGAAAAGAAACATTTGGCTCCCCACACCATTACTCGTTTCTTGTCCACATGTTTCCGTAAGAACTATTACACATTAACTTCAACATTTTGAAAAAGGAAAAAAATTAACGTAAATTCAAACCCCCTCAGTCCATTATGTTTCTGTTTGATTAATCAGAATGTTTAGAACTTGCATCCCACTTCGAACCAAACCCACGAATAAACATTTTGCTTAAAATGAACCCCCTCGGTAGATTTTGTTCTAAAAAGGTTTAAACGTTTCTTCAGGTTCGTGGCATGGATTTGCTTTTACATTTTAACGAAGAAAAGACTCAGTTTCAAGTTTCGATCAAAGGTTTATTTCTAAATTTCCACGTGTCCCCCCGGCTCAGGTGGATTGTCAATGAATTCTTAGAAGAACAGAATTTTTATAACCATCGAAATTTCCTCACGGCTTATACTGTTTTATTGATTATTGAGGAGGACGACACTAGATTCATTTATAATAGAGAAAAAAGAACATTAACCATCCAGAGAAAAACGTTTTCTACTGAACCTGTCCTTACGTTGGAGGAGATTAAGAAATTGGGGGCCTTCATCATCGGTGCCGAAGCAGACTTGGAAAAACAGCATTTCCAGAAGACCTTTAAACATTTATGTTAAAATGTAAGTATTACAACTTAGCATGTATATTTTGACAGCAAATGCTAATTTTCCTGTAATGGTGCATGTTGATAAGGAGTATTCTAGCGCGAAGAATGAGAATGTATGTGGTAAACAATCATTTGGGCTGTATGGGTTAATGCATGTTACTGTGTATGTTATGATAATATATATATCACTTGGGACTTGAACATGATTGTCTACCTGTCTTTTTAGGTTAACATTCTTTGCTGGTCTTGCAAGCATGTTCTTAATGAAACTAGGTATGAAGGTCACATACATATTAAATTACGTGACAAACCTGATGTTAGACAGAACTGAATTTTACAGAAAAGGATTATAATGTAAACATATATTCCTAACCCTTATATAATGTGTGTTACAAAGTTATCTCTCTACATTAGAACATTGAAGGGCGGTGACAGAAAAAGGTTTGCAAAGTTCAAAGAGATTTTTAGATCAAAGGGTCACTGTCACTAGCTCTCACACGTGCGTCATGAAAATACGTAGTTACTTCATTCAAACCACTCGCTCAATCACTGTGTAGCTCATTTTAGTTCCATCTCCAACATGAAGTGGATTACATCAACACTGCTCCTAGCAATAGCCTATCTAAAGTTTGGACTATCATCACCAATCACTCACTGTGTCGTTACGGGTAAGGTGATGAGATGTCCCAAGGGTGGGGGCACCACCTACACTCACCTAAAGGGTGAAATATACCACGTCAATATGATACACCTTAAAGGACGCAGGGATCGGCTAGAAATAAATAGGAGTTTGTTTCCCAGGCTGAAAGTAAGTATTGAACCAAAAAAAGTGTAGAATCATCTTGATACGATGTGCAACCATTCATTTCATCTACAACCGTCAGTTGAGTTCACGATATTAAGTAGTTCATTATCATGTAGCAACTATCTTTAAGTAATGAAAACAATACAGCATAAATTACGTATGAATTATCTAAAGTAAATTGCAATGTGGGAATCATAAGGTTGAATTATAGAATAATGTGTATTATATGGACACTAAACTTTACTCCCGACAGAAGCTAGCTGATTAATGATCATCTGTACGCCCTCTAATCCAACAGACCTCTATTCCACGCTTTGACACACATTTTCCCTTTTACACAACGGATGCTAAATGATTTCATCTCATTAGTTAAGAGAGATGATCTGAGATTGTAACGCACTGCTCCATTATATTTTTATATATTTAAAAAAAATGTTATTATGGTGGTTGGATGAAGAGAGTATATATTTAAAAAAATTGTGTAACTGTCTTTTATTATATACAGTTGTGACTTGATATGTACCCAAGGCTATACATAATTTACGAATTTCAGGAAATTCGAGGAAAGGGAGTCAGGTGCCCCGACATAACTAGATCTGGTGTCCCCGAAGTGATGTTGCTAAATGCAAGACCTTGCATGAGTAAGTATATATATATCTATTTATGGATATGGTAATATGTAGTATTTCGTGTACAATTTACTCAACTGTAATCTGACTCCAGAGAGTTGATTTAGTTATTTAGTTAATTCCCTGATGTAAATAATATGAAATATATGTATTAAATTCATTTTTATTGTTGGAATTCTACTGTTTTGCTGAAAATTGTCATCTATTACAACACCTATTACAAGTACTACAACTGCAAATACAACTACAACTACTACTAATACTACTACCAATACAACCCTGACTACAACTTCAACTCATACTACAATACCCGCAAAGACTATTACGACTCCAACCACTACGACATCAGTTACAAGTACTTTTTCCCCATCTTCTTTCTCATCTACAATAACTAAATCAAACTTCCCTTCCTGCCCTGGTCTTACTACTAGGACTACTACTGCTAGTGCTAGTGCTACGGCTACGGCTACGGCTACTGCTACTGCTACTGATATTGCTTGTGTTACTGCTCCTTCTACAACTACTGCTACTACTAGTACTAGTGCTACTGCTGCTACTACTACTACAGCAATTGCTACTGCAACCTCATCCAACCCTCGTCCTACAACTGCATCTACTACTGTTGTTAGTGCTGCTGCTACTGCTGTTAATAACACTACTGCCTTAAGTGTAACTACTGCTGTGGGTAGAGCAACTATTCTCCATACTAATTCTACCATTTCAAATTGTAATTCTACTCAAGGCTTTAATAAGTACATGCCAAATTAAATTGTAAGAGATACCATCGGGAAAACATCCCTACAAGGATATATAGATCAACAAAGCCTCTTACTCCTTGGTAAACTCTGTAATGCCAACACAAGATACAGCTTTAAATAAACGTGTTTAGCCCGCCTTTGCCAATACCACTTTAAAGAACCACCGATATACAAGAATAAGTTTGATATGAAATCACCTGTTTTTAACATGTTACGGCTTGTTTCCAAATACAATCTGCTTAGTGAAATCCGTAACTACATTTGTGATTCTAAGTTTATGAAGAAAAATGCTTGGCCGCAACCAGTCAAAGATAAGTATATTACATATGACCAAATGCAGTTGGTAAATGTACTTCAGACAAGGTTGTCTCTCTCCAGATATCTAACAATAAGATCAGGAAGAGAACATAGACTATGGATACTCGCTTTAGAACGACCTCAGAACTTTACTGACATTGCGAGAATTATAAGGCTTGGTGCAACTCCAATAGAATCAAAGGAATGTCTATGTGGTACAGTTGCTCACGACATTATGAAACATGTTTTTATGTCATGCCAGTATAACTTAGTAGACAGGAATTCTCTATTTGAAAGAATCTGTGATATTCTTGACATAGACACTTTTGTTAAAATGTGGAAGGAAGACGAAGATGTATTCATGTCATTCCTCCTCGGAGGTATACCTGATCACTGTAAGGATGTACTGGATTATAATGTTTGGTCAGAACTGATGGTAATGATTAGTCTCTCTGTTCGCAGTTGGGAGAGCATACTCTGGCAATGCTCATAAATACCTTCAGTTCTTTCACAATTGAATATTACTGTATAATATAAGTACTAATAATTAGAAAGTTTTCTGTACCGTTGTTTACCATACAAATGGAATCTTCATTTTATGGAGGAAATAAAGAATATCTATCTATCTATCTAACTATTATTGAATGCTTATAGAAACAGTTGAACGTAGCAGCATGTGAGCGTAAATGATACTCGGTATTGCTCTTATACTAATCTTTTTTTTCTTTCCAGATGTAGAGTCTTTGCTAGTCATCTTGGTTTCACTGGCGTTGTCGATAGTGCTCATGATAGCGTTGGGTTTTGCAATTCGTTTCAGGAAGGCAATACTACGATGCTGTCATCGAATGTGCTATAGCCATCGCCAGTATGAAACCTCGTCTGAGTGCGCCCCCATCCCCCCCCCTCTCTTCCCACTCCTTCAAAACATTCATTGTCCGCCACGAATCCCATGGCTTATGAACTTGCGACCTGTGCCCCCCCTCCTCTCAGTACCTCTCTCCCATGACCCGGCACAACCCCGAACTCTTCCCGTCGTTCCTCGATCTCTATCCTTTCCCTCCCCTGTTCGTCTCGCCTCACATTCCTCCCCACCCCCCCCACTCCTAGCAAACCTCCAGTTCCTATCCCGAGGTCTGATGCACATGCTGCTGTAGATCCCCGTCTATCTCCACCCCCTACCTTACCCTCGACACTTGCTAATCTCCCCCTGCCCGCCCCCTTTCACTGACTCCTCACTCTCTGTCACTGATTCTTCAACACTGTCCTCGTGATCTCAACTCCGCATTCCAGCCTTCCCATCAATGCTTGATGCAATCCTCCCCACAACCACTTCTTCCTCTCCCACGGTGCCCACCACTTCTACTGTCACCACCACCTCGACATCTGCATCTCACCCTTAGCCCGCTCCTGTTGACTGCTGGAAAAGACTCGATCGATCTACATTAAGGCTTTTGCTCAACACTCCTCCTGACGATGATGATGTTGATGTCCCCCCTACACTGATGACCTGCCTCGACTACTACGACAGTCTCATCGGGGAAGGAGGCCACCAAACAGATTAAGTTTTTAACTGCATTTCATTGACTGTTGTGGATATACGATTTTTAGTATCGTGCGATTCGAAGTTGTTTTTGTTTCTTTTTTTTCCATGGAAATGTGTGTCTCAAGAGAGAGTAATAGATTCGTGTTTGTGTTCTTGAGAAATGAATTCTCAAACCTTTCCGATAAAACTGATGTTATTACAGAAACCTTGGCTACTGGATTTGTTTTAAAGGAAATATGATAGTTTATAAGAAGCGTATGTAGTGTGAGATGGGCCCTAATGTTGTTCTCGACTGTGTGACAGAGGGACTGAGAAACTGGAAAAGTAGTTCTTGTTACATTTCCGGTTGACCAACGAGCACGCTAGTGGGGCGCATTTCCTGAGAGGTCAGTTAAACAGATTGTTTGGGTTTTTTTCTCTTGTATTGTTTATCTCTTGTTTCTATGCTTTGAGGTGTTTGCATATTGGTGACCAACACATGATTAAGGTGACTTTCACCAAATGTAGTACGAACATTGGTCTTTTCACAGGTGAAAATGGAAACGGTTCACAAAAAATAAATTAGCTGCAATGATCAACAGTTTAAGATAGTATTATCTCATAATTCAATAGACTGAGATCTTACCTTAATATTGAAGTTATTTAATAAAGTAGATCATGATAATTTCATGATAAGTTGCAGCTGTTATATTTTTTTGTGAACTGAAGGTCTTTAGGTACATGAGATATTATCAACCATATCAAGCTATTGTATGACCATAGTAAAAAAAAAACATGACAAAATACAAATGATTAATTGTTTATTGAGAAATCTACACAAAAGATTGGTCTCAGTGTACAGAAAAGGTTTCTTAACATTAGACAATTAACATGATTACATTGGGATATCTGGTTGCACCGGAATGTGTTGATTACACCGGAATTTGTTGATTACATTACAGTTTCTGATTTCAATGGCGATTACACTGGAACACTGTCTGAATAAAATATTGCACTACGTCGTCGTCTGATTATGTCCAAATGACATCAATGTAACTTCGATCAGCAAGATGTCTTCTTTCCCTGAGATGAAAGAACAAATCTGTATAACTTATGCATACCGTGAACAAAGGGTCACCTGAAGACATCATAATACTGTCCGTTAACAACAAAATATCAGATCAACAGGAAAGTGTTACATAGCAATCTTTCTTTCCCATAGTACAGGATGAATGTAATTACACTTCAATAAGTGACAGAACAAATATAATGCACGTCAATTAATCACTAAATTTTATCTGCGTGTATATACAGATGTCGTTTTACTTATGTTTAATGTCTTATATTGTTATAAAGGAGACATTTGTGACATTAATTGCTATAGAACATCCAAGCACATTATCCGTTAATGTTTGAAAAATTGGAGAAATACTTTGTCATTACTCACCTAAGAAGACAAGGATTGTGTCAGGGCTTCCGACAATTCCTCTCTGTCCGCTTTCTCATCCTCATCCTCATTAATTCCGTCTTCCCTGCAGCAAAAAAAATCAGTTTTGTTGAAGGTCCGATTATTTTTTGATCGGGTCTGTACCTTGAATACCAGATAAGTTGAAGACTCTAGAACGTCTGTGTATTGGTCATTTAGTAGAATATCAAAACGTCGACAGTCCTCCTTCTGCACGACCGCAGTTAAAACCACCTTCCACAGTGACTCGTTGTGGACGTCCACTGCGTGATGTGGGATTCTATCTTCGATATAAGATATTGTGGCAGCTCGCTCACTAGACATCATTTGATATCCTCTTTGATTAGAATGCCATTTTCATCAACCTTTTTCATAAGTTCATCAAATCGTAGAGTTGACGCCGTTTGTTTGCAGTCTTTGTTGGTACCTGTAGAATCTTCAGAAGCTGCACGTTTCGACATTCTTCTAGTGTAGTGGAATACATTTGAGGCAAATGATGGCTGGGGAGCAAGTGTGTGACGGCTAAATCATTGAAGGTCTCTTATATATAGATTTTTCATTGGGTGAATTTAAATGGCATCTGGGAGTGAAGACGAGGGTGTTGGCGACGATGAAGCAAAAAAAAAAATTAAAAAGTAGAAGGTCGTTAGGTACATCGACGATGTTATCAGGTGCACGGGGTGTGGGCGACGATGAACCCCAAAAATAGAAAGTCATCGGGTACAACGATGACATTATCAGGTGCATTACCCACAAAAAAATTAGAAAGTCATTAGGTACGTCGACGATATTATCGGGTGCACGAGGTGTTGGCGACGATGAATCCCCAAAATAGAAAAGTCATGACGTACATCGATGATGTTATTAGGTGCGTTATAGGATGTTGGATGGGAGTGGAGACAGCGCGACAATGAACTAAAATTAGATGGATGTTGTTGACAGAGGTGTCTGAGGTGTTCATTTCCAAAAGGTCAAAGGACGTCAGAGACTCACATCTGGTGTAGATCAGGGTCCGGAAGTGCACTATGACGTCAGAGAGCCTATTTAAGGATGACGTTTTGAGGTAAGAGCCTCAAATGAGGCTCCGAATGATATAAATTTATACTACTCATCTGTCACATTCTTGATCTGTTTATCGCTGATTCTGAAACTGGCGGAAAGGTAGCCTAGTGGTTAAGCGTTTGCTCCTCATGCCGAAGACCCGGATTCGATTCTCGACATAGCTACATTGTGTGAGATCTTTTTCTGGTGTCCCCCGTCGTGATATTTCTGGGCCATTGTTAAAAGCTGTGTAAACAGTTACCCACTCACTGATTCTGTATCAAAGCATCCAAATAGCACATTTTGCACTTTTGTTACTTTCTCTTTGTCAGGTCTGTGCTCGTGAACATTGTGCTACGTTTTTCATGTGTATGTTTGCGAATGTCCTGGTGATAATATTATCGCATGTAGCTTTTTTCTTCTGATATCTTTAATCACACGCATTTAAGCATGTAATTACCTTAGAATATGTTAATTCTATAATGGTCATTTTTAAACGACAACGACAACGTGGTCGTGGGACTGGTTTTGTGTTGAAAGTGCTCTCGTCACTCTGCAGACCCGGGTTCGATTCCCCACATGGGTACAATGTGTAAAGCCCAAACCTGTTGTCCCCCGCCATGATATTGCTGGATTATTGCTAAAAGGGGTGCAAAACCATATTCATGCGCTCAATTATTCTACAAAGCATCCACACATTACTTACATTTTGTCGTTTCTATGCCCGTGAACACTGTGCGACCTTGTTTACGAATACTCTGCTGATAATGTAATCGCATGCAGCTTGTCCTCCTAACAGGGCACATAAGACCACGTCTTTCAAAGTCTGTTTATTTCTATTACATTTTAGAATATGTGTTCGTATTTTCTTTGATATGTTTGCCAATATCTGATGGGACCACTCACAGTATATTTGTTGCAATCATGTTGGTTCAATAAGTGGAGTTCGATTCCCCTCATGGGTACAATGCGTGAAGTCCATTTCTGGTGTCCTCCTTTATGATATTTCTGGAATATGGCTAAGGAGGCGTAAAACCAAACCTAGTCCCTCACTCACTGAGGTAATATAATATGTTAACTCACTCACCCACTCTTTTCGTTACTTTACTGACGTTTTCACTTGCATTTAACCATTTAATCACTTTCAATAATTATCGCGAGCAATCCTCAGATTTCTGAGCATAAAAGTTAAAGCTTTTTTCTCGTTATGCCGAGGACCCGGATTTGATGCCCTACATGGGTACAATGTGCGAAACCCATTTCTGGTATCCCTCTCATTGTTTTAGTGAGATCAAAAAAACTTGGAGAAATGTCCAATTTACAAAAAAAAATATTCTCTCTGCTTATGCGAATCTTTTATATGAATATCTGATTAACTGCAAACGTCCACTCAAACATGTAGAAGAGAATAATACAATTCGTCCTCTAAATACTAAATTCAGTAGCTACTCAGAAACTACACATGCCTCGGCTTAGTTCCAACGTAGGTACACAGGAACTACACATAACTCGGCGTGGTTCCAACGTAGCTACTCAGAAACTACACATAAATCGGCGTAGTTCCCACGTAGCTCCACAGAAACTACACATAACTCGGCGCAGTCACTAAATAGCTACACAGAAACTACATATAACTCGGCGTAGTTCCCACGTAGCTACGCAGAAAGTACACATAAATCGGCGTAGTTCCCACGTAGCTCCAGAGAAACTACACATAACTCGGCGCATTCACTAAGTAGCTACACAAAACTACACATAACTCGGTGCAGTCACTAAGTAGCTACACAGAAACTACCACATAACTCGGCGTAGTTGCCACGTAGCTCCAGAGAAACTACACATAACTCGGCGCATTCACTAAGTAGCTACACAAAACTACACATAACCCGGCGCAGTCACTAAGTAGCTACAAAGAAACTACACATAACTCGGCGCAGTAACTAAGTAGCTACACAGAAACTACATATAACTCGGCGTAGTTCCCACGTAGCTACGCAGAAAGTACACATAAATCGGCGTAGTTCCCACGTAGCTCCAGAGAAACTACACATAACTCGGCGCATTCACTAATTAGCTAGACAAAACTACACATAACTCGGCGCAGTCACTAAGTAGCTACACAGAAACTACCACATAACTCGGCGTAGTTCCCACGTAGCTACGCAGAAAGTACACATAAATCGGCGTAGTTCCATCGTAGCTCCACAGAAACTACACATAACTCGGCACATTCACTAAGTAGATACACAGAAACTACACATAACTCGGCGCAGTCACTAAGTAGCTACACAGAAACTACACAAAACTCGGCGCAGTCACTAAGTAGCTACACAGACACTACATATAACTCGGCGTAGTTCAAACGTAGCTACACAGAAACTACACAAAACTCGGCGCAGTCACTAAGTAGCTACACAGAAACTACACAAAACTCGGCTTAGTTCCCACGTAGCTACACAGACTCTACATATAACTCGGCGTAGTTCCCACGTAGCTACACAGAAAGTACACATAAATCGGCGTAGTTCCCTCGAAGCTCCACTGAAACTACACATAACTCGGCACATTCACTAAGTAGCTACACAGAACTAGAGATAACTCGGCGCAGTCACTAAGTAGCTACACAGAAACTACACAAAACTCGGCGTAGTTCCCACGTAGCTACACAGACACTACATATAACTCGGCGTAGTTCCCACGTAGCTACACAGAAAGTACACATAAATCGGCGTAGTTCCCTCGAAGCTCCACTGAAACTACACATAACTCGGCACATTCACTAAGTAGCTACACAGAACTAGAGATAACTCGGCGCAGTCACTAAGTAGCTACACAGAAACTACACAAAACTCGGCGTAGTTCCCACGTAGCTACACAGACACTACATATAACTCGGCGTAGTTCCCACGTAGCTACACAGAAAGTACACATAAATCGGCGTAGTTCCCACGTAGCTCCACAGAAACTACACATAACTCGGCACATTCACTAAGTAGCTACACAGAACTACAGATAACTCGGCGCAGTCACTAAGTAGCTACACAGAAACTACACATAAATCGGCGTAGTTCCCACGTAGCTACACAGAAACTACATATAACTCGGCGTAGTGTCCACGTAGCTACACAGAAACTACACATAACTCGGCATAGTCACTACGTAGATACACAGAAACTACCACATAACTCGGCGTAGTTCCCACGTAGCTACGCAGAAAGTACACATAAATCGGCGTAGTTCCATCGTAGCTCCATAGAAACTACACATAACTCGGCACATTCACTAAGTAGATACACAGAAACTACACATAACTCGGCGCAGTCACTAAGTAGCTACACAGAAACTACACAAGACTCGGCGCAGTCACTAAGTAGCTACACAGACACTACATATAACTCGGCGTAGTTCAAACGTAGCTACACAGAAACTACACAAAACTCGGCGCAGTCACTAAGTAGCTACACAGAAACTACACAAAACTCGGCTTAGTTCCCACGTAGCTACACAGACTCTACATATAACTCGGCGTAGTTCCCACGTAGCTACACAGAAAGTACACATAAATCGGCGTAGTTCCCTCGAAGCTCCACTGAAACTACACATAACTCGGCACATTCACTAAGTAGCTACACAGAACTAGAGATAACTCGGCGCAGTCACTAAGTAGCTACACAGAAAGTACACATAAATCGGCGTAGTTCCCACGTAGCTACACAGAAACTACATATAACTCGGCGTAGTGTCCACGTAGCTACACAGAAACTACACATAACTCGGCATAGTCACTACGTAGATACACAGAAACTACACACAACTCAGCGTAGTCACCACGTAGCTACGCTAAGATTTAACATAAACCGGCCTGGTCAGTACGTAGCAACGCAAACATTAAACACAAATCGCAGTGCATGTTAAATAAACGCAGAGTGATTCCTCGTCATGTGTATTGCACATTTGCACACACTAACTTATAATGAAATTGTAAGTACCCATAATAACAACACGTGCAATATCATTTAAACCAATCAAGCTTCGTACATTTATCGTATGAGAAATATGAAATATGTAATACACAAACAAATGTAGTGATAAACATGAAGTTCTTAATTGATTTGCAAATGTCACTAGGTTCAACGCATACATTATAATATATAATATATTACATACATATAACATTTAATAACCTCTGGATAGATGTAATAACTGTTCACGTGTGGGCAATACAGCTATGCAGATGTTACTACCATCCAAGGTAAAAAGAACATATCTATCAGCATCTAATGTTCTTTCGTACTAATCGATAAAAATGCACCATGGACAATCAAACACTCTTTTGACGAACTTTGATATGTTGAAGTTGCGGTTGCCTACGTAAATGCATTGTACTTTCTTCTTCATTTTCGTTGAACCTGCTATGTGCTTGTGTCACAGAAAAGGTTCTCTCGAATTTCCCAGATCCTAAACATATTGTCAGTTTGTATCATCGACGTCATTGTTAATTCAACTAACAGTTAACTTGCCATCCATCCATCCATCTCCCACACATACACAGATCCATACATACATATATACAGACAGACAGAGAGACATATGTAATATACACACATATATTGGATATAAAATTGAAGAAAACGAAAAACGATCTCTCATTTGGTACCTCTTGGATGATGGTATGCTCTTAGACAAAATCGTAAAAAATATGTTCAGTTTAGTATTAGATGACGTCCCGTGATAATTAACATTCAGTCATTTGGATTGCATGATTTGTATTCAGACAGATATGTCGATGTGATTTCGTCATCTGAAATGGGGTTGGGTAGTGTCTCCAAAACACTCCAGCTTTAACAAGCGATTGTTTACCAAGATAAAAGTGAAACAAAGTGGGAATCGTGAGGCTGGCACAAAACTAATTTGATTGAGGTTGACAGGTATTATGTCGAATGATGTGACATACACGTGACATTTAAATTGGGTGACGAGTGAATAGTGACATAGCGACAATGTGACAATTGGTCGAAATGTCGCGTTGTCGCATTGTCGCGCTTTGGTTAATTTTGCCTCTTTTTGCTTGTTTTTGAGTGGGCGACAACGGGGCAGTGTCCCTTCTAGGATTCCATAATAAATAGCTAAACTATATATATCCAGCCAGAGCGGTAACGCATCCAAAGCTCAAATAATAACTTGTTATTGAGAATTGATTGTAAATATCATGATTTATTGACAAAAGTATCAAAACCCAAACTGAGGAACATGGACAATATCGCTGACGACAAGAATGCAATATTCAATTTATTGTATTCACAATTATATTCGCCATTTTTGCATCCATTTAACTAAGATATTCATAGGCCATATGAATTCATCAATTATAGTGTGTCATAGCCATTTGACCTCATCGATTAAAACGTGGAATAGCAATATGACGTCATCGATTATAGCGTGGCATAGCAATGTGACGCTATCGATTATCGTGTGTCACAGCCATTTGACGTCATCGATTATAGCATAGCATACACATGTGACGTCATCGATTACAGCTTGTCAAAGCCATATGCCGTCTTCGATTATAATGGCACACGTGAGTGTACTACACATATGGGGAATGTGTTCGGTGGCGTTTGATAAAGTTCATGAGGAAAGTACGAGGGTCGTCATATGGTTTCATGTGGCAAGCATTAAGCTTCGATGGCGAAGAACACGGGAATATCTGAAAACGTTTTTTGTTTCCCAAATCCGGTCATGTGTATGAACAGAGGTTAGAAATATATACCCCTTGGAACTGTCAAAAACTGAAATGCTACCATTTTGGATTCGTTGTTATTTGAACGACACACTCACCCTTATTTCAGGTCTATGGCGGCAGTCTGTACATAATCGACCAGACAACCCAGTGATCAACATTAAGAGCATTGATCTACGTAATCGAGAAACGATGACATGTGTCAGCCAAATTGGCAAGACTGGCCACCTGGCCGAGATTTCTCGAAACAAATTTAAGTTTCTACTCAAATTTCACACTGACAATTTCGACATTTTGAAACAGCTGAATTTTTAACTCAACTGCATTTTCAAAATAAGTTAAGTCAAAACAGCTTATGTAATCTATCCAACAAACTCAAATTGTCTACTCTGTTTGAGTTCAATATCGATTTCAGTTTATACTGGGAAATGCATGTTGTTTTTTTTGCGTTTCCCACATTTGAGTAAAAACTCTTACTGAAATCAAAACTCAGACTTAAGTTTGTTTCGAGAAATTGGGACCAGATCCCCATACTCACTGTATCTTGTGACAAACATTGGCTGCTGAAGAACAATTCTAAGCTGTATTTTCGGGGTACCTACCACACGAAAGTCCACAAGTGAATTCGTTCCCCCGATGAGATATCTCGGGCTGACATTGACTTCAACCAACTGACGTTCCATGATGTCAAGGACGGTGTCGCATGATGTCGTTGATTTCTTTGCAGTGGTGTACAGGTCATTGACAACCTGTTCTGCCAGTTGTTGTGGGTACACCCTCCTGACGTCGTCACTGGCCGAGTTGAAACCGTCAAACAGTCTCCTTCTGAACATATCAATCTGCATGCAATAACAGAAAAGTATCAAGCGTCTCGTAAAAGAACGGGAATGAGACAGTCCGAATGTGTCTTGCAACTGTGCAACCTCGGAAAGGGTAACACGGAGAACTCCGAGCGACAGCTATCGGAACCTTCGCGCATTACTATGAGTAGTACAACACGACTCGGTTACGAATGTAAGCAGCCTAACGATTGACTCATTCTAATTCGCCCCTGTCACTCGATTCAATGAATTTACATTTGTCACGAAAAAGACTTTTCTTTGTCATTGGAAAACAACGTCAGACGTTTAAGTCTGGCTAAACTGGTTTTGGGAGGAAATAATTAACAGGATTTCAAACAAATTTTTTTTTGTTATACCTGTGGTAGATTTGTTTCCAATTTAAACACTTCCTCAAATCGAGAAATATCATTGAAATTGATAACAAAAAAAATAATCGAAAATTAAAGTTTTAAAATATACTCGAACTGTAACAAAAATAATCGAAAAAAAGTCGAAATGTCTTAAAGCAACAAATAATTGAAATAAAGATGTGTTAATTAAACAAATGATTTATGTTTTAAAAGTAATAAAGGGACAAAGTGTTGCTTGATATCCTTACAGCAGTGAAAAAGGAACCATTCGTCTAAGCGAACAAACCGCGTCATCGGTAAAATGACATAAAATCAAAGTAGTCAGGTGCCTGTCACATGATTCATGTGTACTACACCTGTGTGCGAAATAGCCACTGGCCCCCAAACCCGTGGCTAGTAAAAATGCACAGTCACTGACCCGACTTATAAATTGTAAATATATCACTCTCTCCGACTTGTTATGTTATAATGCACTTTTAAATTATGCAAGATTATGGTCTGATAAATGATGGTATTTTACCTCTTTGTAATCTTTTTGCTTAGTTCTGCTTCTTGAATCCCCTGAAGCCCCATCCCATATCCCCCCCCCACACACCCCACACCCCCACACCCTCTCTGTCTCTGCGAATGCAAAACATAAACTTCAATGTGATCTTTAGTCATTTTCAAGGAGGGGCCATATTATTAGTACATCTGTGTGACATTTGCTGACACGTTTCGCCTGGGATACTGATGGACCACTTACATTGTGTTCGCGAAGAATGGCTGTTGCTCCCCCGAAATGTCCTGGCTCAATCACTTGCACGCCAAATCGCCTCATCTCTTTCCGCAACGCATCAGAGAAAGCTTCTAAACCGTGCTTCAAAATGCAGTACGTCAAGTTACCACCCCTTGCAGGCGGCCTCTGTCACTAGATCCGTTTATTATCGGACCTGACATTAAGCAACTTATGTACTCAATTAGTCTGCAATACTGAATTTTGATATCAATGGGAACCATGGCCTCAATCCGCTATTGCATTGCATTCCAGGGTGAAGGACGAAATCTTTTTATTGTATAAAGCAACCAATATGATATCAAAGAAGCATGAGAGGCCATGTTTGTTTGTTTAGTTTGTTTTACGTCGCACTCGCCAATTTCACAGCTGTGTGACGGTGGTCGCCTGAAAACCAGAGTCTGCTAAGTCACAAATACCTATTTTCGAGAAATTCTATCTTGTAGTTTTGGACAATATCTTCTAAACTTTTCAATCGAATTCTTTCAAATTTTGCATATGCATGTGACATGTTAAACAGTATCAGAAAATATCAAATTATATGCTCGAACAATTGAAATAAATAAGAAACTCACGAAAAATGATTGGAGATAGAACACTTGACCAATGAAAATCGTGATTTTTCTCAAAACCAACGTGTTCTTAGTGTCAAAAAACACAGCTAAACCTCAGCTTTATTATTATTATATCGATATTTGATTGTTATTTCTTTATTACCAGGTTGTACTTTTGTCGTTTAAACCTGTTTTACTTTCATAAAGACCAAATTTAATGAAATAAAGCAGAAATAAGAACAGAGTTAAAATGTTCCATTTCCATGATGGCAATCACTTCAAAAGAGGTAAATCTCAATGTCACGTGATCAAATTGTGCTTGCTCATTGGTCAATTTACAACTTAGAACACTCGAAAATTAACATCATGTGATTTTTCATGGAGATAAAACAAGGTTTGGTTTTCACACTCTGGTTTCCAGGCGACTAATTGAGTGTGGACCAGGTCAGGACTTCTTGAGCAGCGATAACCAAAATCGAGGTACAATGGCATCAATGAACCAGTCAGATTTCCCTGGCCCCATCCACCTCGATGTCCCGATATTGTTGGCATATTCCTAAATGCGGCCTAAAAACATACTCTCACACACTGCCTCATTTGGCAAACATAGCAAAGGGACCTTTGAGTTTATCCGAAATCCCAACGTTTGAGTGAGCGAGTGACGGAGAAAGCAAACCCGTAAGATGGAGTGAGGTGCAAGGAAGGTTTCTTTGTTGGTTAATGCTGCGGCCTGTAAATAATCAAGTCTTGAAAAGACAACCCAGTCATCATCAGACTGAGCATCGATCTACGCAGCTGGGATACGATGACATGTGTAAACCAATTCATAGAGCATGACCACTGGATCTCGTTAGTGGCCTCTTACGACAAACATGGGTTGATGAAGATCATTTCTAATCTGGATCTTCACGGGTTTGCAAAGGATGAAGTGGATGATTGGTTCGCCCTGCTGCCCATGGCGGCGGTGATTAGCATTAAGATCTTCTCAATCTTGGTATTGGGATGTCTCACCTCACTGTCGTTGATGCGGCTGATATCAATATTCATTCATTCATGTCCTATTTGTTTCCTCACCTTTAGCTTGCCTCACAAGTGCCAGGAAAGCTTTGGACACTCTTATGGCCCCGTTCAGCTTGACTGCACACACTTTTTTGTAGAACTGCAAGCTGCACTGCTCCACTGGGCATCCACCGTGAATGCTGGCGTTGTTCACAACAGCCCACAAGCCTGCAACATAGACGCCAGTTGTGCAACCCTTTCTTCCCTCCAGTGCAGTGTTGTATTGTAATATGGCTTATTATGTTTGTATGTAAGGATTCGTGGAGGATGTTTGACGTGTAAAAAGTTGCTCTTTTTCTCGTATTACAATCGTTGCCAACAATATTTCTTGAATGTTATTTTTTCTTATTATTTCAGATATTTTCATTTCAAATTACAGAAAAGATGAATGTTATTGTCACATAAAAGACTAATCTTACAAATGACCCCTTATAAAAATTTCATAAATGTGCAACGACGGTAGTAGTAGTAGTAGTAGTAGTAGTAGTAGGAGGAGGAGGAGGAGGACGTTACTGTCGCCATCGTTGTACCCTCGAAAATTGTTATATTAATGCATTGTGCTTGAAAGTGTTGCTGTTGCTGTTAATGATGATGATGATGATGATGATGTTGTTGCGGTTGTTACTATAAGTGTAACACATGCTATATTTTGGATTGCACTTTCTCAGTAAAATACAGGTTTTAGGACTTTTATTGGGCTGACTAATATCGCGGACCCATTCTTTCAGAGCCAGGCACACAAAGTCATCCGTCTAACCCACTCAGCTACCACGGCTGCCACATTGAATCCCGGATGGGACTCAGCCCAACAAAAATAATAGAACCTGCACTCAATGAGGTAGTGTAATCCCAAATATAACATGTAACATTTGAGTGAGTGAGTGAATTAAGTTTTACGCAGTACTCAACAATATCCCAGCTATATGGCAGTCTGTAAATAATCGAGTCTGGACCAGACAACCCAGTGATCAACAGCATGAGCATCGATCTACGCAATTGGGAACCGATGAAATGTGTCAACCAAGCCAGCGAGCCTGACCACCTGATCCCATTAGTCACCTCTTAAGACAAGCATGAGTTACCGAAGGTTCTTTCTAACCCGGACCATCATAGGTGTTACATCTGACCACTCTCTGAAAGACACATATGTTCGTTACTATTAACAATATAAGCAGCGTTCATAGATCGATCGCTACAGCAACGTCATCGCTTTCTATTCGCGATCAAGAAACCATCTATCATTATCGTGAGACAACAACAGCAAGTACCCCCACCTGTACTTCGACATCTCTCCTGGACCTACTTGAGGGCATCCTTCACTTCCCCATCCTTCGTCACATCCATCTTCAGCACGTGCATCCTCTCCTCGAACTTGCTCTGCAGTTCTCGCGGCCCCTCTGTGTTGTCGTTCAGACAGCCAGCGAACACCGTAAAGCCGAGCTTGTGCGCTCGCGTCACAGCATATTACCAAACCCTGTCAAGACAGAACAAGCAGTAAGTAATATTTAACTCTGCTTTAAGTAGGTTAGATGGCTTTACATTTTTTTTATGCCGCTTTTAGTGAATGAGTATGATTTTACGCCGCTTTTATCAATATTCCAGCAATATATAGACTCCTGCAATGGGTTTCACACATTGTACACATGAAGGGAATCAAACCCCGTCTTTGGCATGACGGCCAACGCTTTATCCATTAGTTCAGTCATGCGCCCTTATGGCGTTTGTAGCAATATTCCAGTAAGATCACGGCGAGTGACACACCACGGAAATGGGTTTCACACGTTGTACCCATGTAGGTAAGCGAACCGTGCCTTTCCCGTGACAAGCGAACGCTTTAACATCTAAGCTACCCCACCGCCCGAAAGTACAACTGTGAGACATGGATGTCCTCCCACATTAGCCAGGCACTCTGTGGTGTAACGTTAAAAGTGTTAAGAGTCTCAAGCCAAACTACTCATGACTAACGTGCGGTGTTGTTTTATAGTCGCAGACTTTTTAAAGACATGTGGCATGGTGGGCGAGCTGTATAGCGCCAGGTTAGTGATCCAGCGACCTCAAGGTGCCGGGATCGAGCCCACCTGTGACCAGGTGTTGAAACCTTGGAGTCAACTTTGTGTGCAGATCCTTTCAGTGTTGTCACAACCCCTAGTGTGCAGTACGACCCCGTGCACTTAAAAGAATCCACGAATCCTTTCGAATATGACCAGATGGTGGCCACATGAATACGTGCAAACACCTTGTTGCGGGTACAGCAACGTGCAGTAAACTTGGACAAAGTACTGTGACTATGTGTCCCAGTCCACCCAGCTGTGAATGGGTACCTCGTAGGGATGGGAAAGCCATATCAACTGGGTGCGCCTAGTGACTGCAAGAGTTGTATGATCCCAAGGAGTTGAGATTGATAATATGATGTTCCGTTTGAGTTTGACATCCAATGATCGAGGGTGGGGGCAGAGGGACAAGCGCCTTTGAGTAGCTGAGCTGGATATTGGCGCTATACAAATGTTAGTATGATATCATAAAAGGATGAGAGACTGTTCAGCGAAAAGGTGTTTGCCCAAGTCCAAAATTCTATGTTGGCTTTATTTTGGTAGCACTTTATTCCCCGTGGGAGATAACTAAGATATTTGCACAAATCCAAATGCTTGTGATGGTTTCTGTGCATTAAATATTTCTCAACACAGATCATAACTGGTCGGTTTGTTGCTTTACGCCGCACTCGGCATATTCCACCTACATAAACATATAGTGCGTTTGACTTCATTTGAGATCGATGAATTGTTCACTAACACAAAATCTAATAATTGCAACAAAACCACATTTTGCACTGTCACATGAAATCGACAGACCAACTCCGATGATTTGTCTCATAATTTTCGACACCTGAATAAAAAAGTTGTTTATCAAACGATCATTATTTTGTTGTCACTTACCGCTATTTCTTACGAGGGAGGACCACTTGCTGGTAAAACAGCCAGGTGTGCTAGTTGCACGTGTGAAATTGAAATGTCACAGCACGCGCTTGTTGATTACCTGGCTGTTCAAAGGTTTTGCTCGTCCCACCGAGGTCTACATATAAATTACTCCGAGACTGAAATTTTGAAGCCTTTCCAATCTATATCTTCAACACTGTACCCCGGCTATTAATGACTATGCTATTCATCGGTCTCAAATGAAGTCAAACGTACTATAGTAAAGTTCATAACATGCATTTTGATAGCAAGTGACAAAGACCAAAAACACGAGTTCTATCACTCGTTTCGTTAGAAGCATGTTCGTTGTGAACGTGGGTTATGGTTTCCTTGCTTGATTGTTGTTTTACGCCGTACTTAGTAATATTTTTTTATATTGGCGTCGATCTGTAAATAATCGAGCCTGGACTATATTGATCATCCATTGTTCACATGTGCATCCATGGGTTACTGAAATCAAAATCACGCCCGGATCTTCATGGGTCTTATACCAGTGAGTGATTGAGTTTAGTTTTACGCCGCAGCAATATTGCAGCAATACCACTGCGGGGGACACCAGAAATGGTCTTCACACATTATGTCCATTTAGGGGATCGGAACCGGGTCTTTGCCGTAACGAGTGAACGCTTTAATCACTAGGTCACCCCACCTCCCCTCCTGTACACATGAGTGAGTGAGTTTAGTTCTACGCCGTATTTGGAAATATTGCAGCAATATCACTGCGGGGGACACCAGAAATGGTCTTCACACATTATGTCCATTTAGAAATCAGACCGTGTCTTCGGCGTGATGAGCGAACGCTTTAACCACTAGGCTACCCCACAGCCCATCAAGCTCACCTGCATCACATCCAGTGATGAGTGTAGCCTTTCCTGTCGGATCTATGTTATTGGGTGTATCCGATTTGAAGAAGTACAACACAACGGCGTAGAAAACGCAACCCTCTATCATGCTCCAGAATATGTAGTCGATGAAGTAGTATATCAACGTTGCGAAGACCGCCGTGGCCGCTACGGAGATATATTGCATATTGAAATTTTATTGGGTCGCCATCTGTGGAAAACAAAACAGAAACATGTTATTGAACACAAATTCATGAACTACTTAAACACCTGAATCTGTTTGGATTAGCTAGAGTGAGTGTGTGAGTGAGTGCGATTTGTGGCCGCTTTTAGCAATATTCCAGCTATATCACGGCGAGTGACACCAGAAATGAGCTTCACACATTGTACCCATGTGGGGAGTCGAATCCGAATCTTCGTGGGGATGTTTCGGTATATATTCGTACACTGTTTTCAAGCACGACGTCACGCATGAATCATGGTTTGTCATCTAACTTTTAGAATGTCACTCATGATAATTGCACTTATCATCTAATGGAGGGTGTTATCGGTGCAATAAAGCAATACAATAATCCAAATATTACGCAAATCACGTCAATCCACGAACTACTTTCTCAAAACTCCATATATGCCATGCGAATCCTAAAACATTTAACATTTCATTGATGACGTCGTCGTGAGTTTACACTGCGCTTACATTTCGAACCCAGGCAGCGTATTACCATGTTGCTCTGCCTTGCATGTGTTGGTTCTGATTTAATAAATTATCTGTATCAAACAATTTCAGAGGTATCAAAACAAGTACAGATCGCCGTCAAATGACTGGATTATTGATGATTATTGATTATTCTGACAAAAAATAAAATATAATACAAAACTGCTCAACAGAATTGATTAAGCTTATACATGTTTCATTGGGACTCGAAAGGTGTGCATCTCATAGTTGCATAGATGTTTATTGAACTTGTTCGTGAAGTTTGTTCAATTATTGATCTTTATATGATAATAGGTTTGTGTTATCTGACCCCACAACACATTGTTTTGGGACCCTGAATGTGTGAACTCTTCCTACAGCAGCGGGGGCATACGTGTCCCTGAACACAATTTTTTCTTGTTTAATATATGAGCTAATTTGGTTTTCATCTAACGCATGTCATTTACGAGATAAATTGAATTTATGTTAATTTAAATCGAAGGGTCACAGAGAAAGCGTTTTGATTGAAATAAAAATGAAATGGATGTTTTAAAATAATGCTACTTACTTCCATTCAAATCACTTTATTCAATCCAAACATTGTTTAGGATTAATAACAAGAGAGCCTTTCTGGTGTAGGCGTCGTCATTGAAATATAAAAGAATGATACTAGCATATCGTCATATGCTGTTGATAAACTAGCACACGATCGTATGCTGTTGATATACTAGCAAATGGTCATATGCTGTTGATATACTAGCACATGATCGTATGCTGTTGATATACTAACACATAATGGTATGCTGTTGATATACTAACACATGATGGTAGGCTGTTTGGATACTAGCACATGATCGTATGCTGTTGATATACTAGCACATGATGGTATGCTGTTGATATACTAGCACAAGATCGTATGCTGTTGGGATACTAGCACATGATCGTATACTGTTGATATACTAACACATAATGGTATGCTGTTGATATACTAACACATGATGGTAGGCTGTTGGGATACTAGCACATGATCGTATGCTGTTGATATACTAACACATGATGGTAGGCTGTTGCTATACTAGCACATGATCGTATGCTGTTGATATGCTAGCACATGATGGTATGCTGTTGGGATACTAGCACATGATCGTATGCTGTTAACGGAGGTCTGTAGATCCATGGTCAGGGCCATATCACAATAGCCAAGGAACTTAAATGCGATCTGTATATCCATGCCCAGGGCAATAAAAAAATAGTTTAGGTGTCTAAGGCGGTCTGAATATCCATTATCCATACGACATAGGCCAGGTTCTAAAAACAGCTCAGTCATGAACCGAAAGTCCAATGACTGATAGAGAGAGCCACAATTATCGCCACATTTGTAGATGATTTGAGGCGGATATTTGAGTTCCGCCGTGATCCTTCTGTGATGCTACTTAAAGCGGCGTAAAACCATATGCGCTCGCTCACTCTAGCGTAGGTCGGGAAGCGGCACGCTGACGAAGTCAAGACATCAGCAGTACACTGTACTAGAGATCAGGCTGCACTGTACTGTACTGTACAACGGGATATATCACTACAGCAAAGTCCCCGTATCGGACTTTAGACAGTAACAAGTGGCCTTCTTCGGTGTTAGGAACGAACCCCGTTGATACACATCCCTGAGGATTGGACGCCTGCCGTTGAAGTAATATAAATTACCAATGGTTATAAACGTGTCGAGGCAGTTTGGGCGTGTCTCCTGTCTCTCTGTGGCTTGTGTGTACGTGGCTACAACCTTGAGGAGGTTTGTTTGGAGGGGTGGAATAGCTGGCGTTGCTGAGAGATGGAGATTGAAATCGATGCACAATGCACGACTACGTGTGTGTCTCCCCCCCCCCCCTCCCTCTCTCTCTCTCTCTCTCTCTCTCTCTCTCTCTCTCTCTCTCTCTCTCTCTCTCGCTCTCTCTCTTCTCTGTGCACTAAAGCCGGTTACACATAGTTAAGTACTGCTAATCGAAAGAGGCGACTGACGGGATCGGGTGGTCGCTGACTTGGGAGATTAACCACAATTCATGTCATGTTCTCAATTGCGTAGATCGATGCTCGTGCTGTTGATCACTGGACTGTCTAGTCCAGACTCGATTATTTACAGACTCAGTCTCTCTCTCTCCAACACCCACACACACACACACACACACACACTCTCTCTCTCTCTCTCTCTCTCTCTGAACTAAAGCCGGACAATGCTAATTACTGGCCTGGTGACATAGCATACCAAAGCATAGTATAGAGAGATGACATTGTATTTAAGACATGGTGCAATCCCCTATGTCACTGTCATCAGCGAGAAATTCAACAAAATTTATCTAAGTTCAAATGTCTCTAAACATGCAAAAAAATACAAAATACAAAACAAAATATGAAGTGCACACCTTTAGAGTCTCTATAAAAGACATATGTAAGCTAAATGAGTTGTGTGCAGTGGTTGTTGAGGAGAAGTGGATAAAGTACACCCCCTGTTGTATGGGACGAACAGGATGAATAGAACCAAATTCAACTAAGTTCAAACATCTGTAGAAGTGACAAAATTAAGAAATTGCATAAACAAGGTATGAGATGCACACTTTTCGAGTTCCAATAAAACACTCGTAGAAGATCAATCAATTCTGTTGAGCAGCTTTTGTGGAAAAGTTGATATACTTCATCCCCTATAATACTATACTCTGAGAGAAATTCAACAAAATTTATGTAAGTTCAAACGGCATTAAAATTTGAAAAATAAATAAAATACAAAATAAAAATATGAGATGCACGCCTTTAGAGTCCCTATAAAGCACATATGTAATCTAAATGAATATCATAAAGTAGTTTTTGAGAAGTGGATAACCTACACCCCCTGTTGTATGGAACGAACAGACTGAATATAATGAGATTCAACTAACTTCAAACATCTGTAAAAGTGACAAAATTAAAAACATTGCATAAACAAGGTATGAGATGCACGCCTTTAGAGTTCCAATGAAACACACGTAGAAGCCCAATCAATTCTGTTTAGCAGCTTTTGTGGAGAAGTGAATATACTCCACCCCCTACAACACTATATTCAGACAGAAATTCAACACAATTTATCTAAGTTCAAACGGCATTAAAATTGAAAAAACATAAAAAAATACAAAATCAAAATATGAGATGCTCGCCTTTAGAGTCCCTGTAAGGCACATGTGTAATCTAAATGAATTCCATTAAGTAGTTTTTGAGGAGAAGTGGATAATGTACACCCCCTGTTGGATTGGACGAACACTGGCTGAACAGAACAAACTTCAACTAAGTTCAAACATCTGTAGAAGTGACAAAATTAAGAAATTGCATACAAAATTATGAAATGCACACCTTTAGAGTCCCTACAAGAGACATGTAGAAGTTTATTCAATTCTGTTGAGCAGTTTTTGTGGAGAAGTGGATAGACTTCAGCCCCCATTACACTATCATCATAGAGAAATTCAGCAAAGTGTACCTAAGTTCAAATGTCTCTAAGCTTACAAAAAAAAACCCAATAAAATAAAAAAAACAAAATATGAGATGCACACCATTAGCGTCCCAAGAAAGCCCATGTATAAGTTCATTGAATTCCACAGAGCGGTTATGGTGGAGAAGTGGATAGAATACATTCCTTGTGTCGTTCGCGTTCGGACGGACGGACGGACGGACAGACAGGACGGACACCGAGGGTAGCCCTATGTAAAAATGTATTCAGGACTCAAAACTACTTAGGGGAATTCGTTATACAGTTGTATTCTCACTCCCTGCCCATGGATATACAGACCGGTGTTAAGCACCAGGGCCTAGATTTTCGAAGCTCTCTTAGCGCTAAGATAGTCGAAAGTAATGTTAACGAATGGCACTTACGACTATCTTAACGCTAAGAGAGCTTCGGAAATCTAGGCCCTGGACTATAGTACTATGGGCCTTACCATGGATCTACAGACCTCCGTTAATTACCTTGACGATTGTAATATGTCCCTTACGATGGATCTACAGACCTCCGTTAATTACCTTGACGATTGTAATATGACCTTGACCATGGATCTACAGACCTCCGTTAATTACCTTGACGATTGCAATATGGCCCTGACCATGGATCTACAGGCCTCCGTTAATTACTTTGACGATTGTAATATGGCCCTGACCAATGATCTACAGACCACCGATAATTACCTGGGCCTAGATTTTCGAAGCTCTCTTAGCGCTCAGATAGTCGTAAGTGCCATACGTTAACATTAACTTACTACTATCTTAGCGCTAAGAGAACTTCGTAAATCTAGGCCCTGGACTATTGTAGAATGTCCCTAAACCGTGGATAAACGATCGTGTCTTAGTATATTAACAACATACGACCATGAGCTAGCTAAGTAATAGCATACTATCATGTGCTGATATATTAAGAGCATACCATCGTGTGCTAGCATATTAAACGAATACGACCATGTTCTGGTATATTAACAGCAAACGGTCAT